GGGGAGGAGGAGGAGGAGGAGGTGGTGGAGGAAGGCCTCCTCCTGTTCGCTCCCCCGCCTGGCTCGCCGCCAAGAGGAGGCGGACCCCACCGGGGCGGCGGACCGCCGGCCCCTGCTGCCGCCGCCCGCCGCCGCGGCGCAGCGCGCCCCCCCTGAGGGCGGGGCGCGGGGGGCGGCAAGGCGCGCTGCCGCCAAGCCGAGGGCCTTCCCGGCCACTGACCCTCTGGATCCGGACATCCTCTGCATCGGCAAGGAATTGTCCACGGATCCGCCAGGCTGTGGCAAACGCGCGGCACCGTCGCGCGTGGCTAGAGCCCGTCTTGGCTCTGCAACGCCTGACGTGGAAACCCATGGGACACGCACGCTGCAGGGGGCGAAGCTCCAAGAACTTGATGGGGCGAAGTGTACTGGCGACAACTGCCTGCCACGCCCTTTTACCAAGGCTCGCTTCAGGTAGCCGTTGTGTCTTGCAGCACGCCCGTCCGTTCAAGATACTGATGCGATCCACTGCGTGGTGAACATCGCAGACCACGTGTGAGACCCAGTCTCGAACGAATATGAATCGGAAGCATCTCGATAAGCACGGGCATGCCTTGTCCTAGCGGTCGTTCGCGAACGCCATCCCAGGACGATGACGACAACTGACTGCACGACCAGGCCCCAGAGATCTGCTCCGTGACACGCGCCGACGCCACGCCACGACGAGAAAGGTGGCGGACTCCTTCTCGCCAGCTCGCTAATCCAGCACGGAGAGCTACGACGACGCGAGGCCACCGAAAGGCCCCGTCCAGCCAAAGATGGCTCCCAGCCGCAGCAGCCGAAGCCCGTGGCCCGTAGCGCCGCGCCCAGCCCAGGCATCGCCGCGACGAGCTGCGCATGGACGGCAGGGAGCGGGCTCACGACCAACATCTCCGCGTTGCGAGCTGCCGAGCCACAACTCGGCCACGAGCACGCTGCCCGCGGCGAGGTTCTGGCCCTGGTTGTGCAGGCTCGCGATCGTCTCCTGGTCCAATAGCGGGTACCACAGGGCCACGCAGCTGGAGGGCGATTTCTGCAGCAGGCGCCCGAGGACGCAGACGTTCCACGTGTAGTGGGACTGCATGGAATCGTATGGCGGGTCTATGGGCACCAGCTGCCCCCTGCTGCGCCAGGGTCAAGGACCATGGGCGAGCTGCAGGGACGAATCGTCGTGCAGCAGTGCGACGTGGCTACCACCCTCCCTGACCAGCAAGGCAAAACTGCGCCTCGAGGCCTCGTACGTTTCGGCGACACACTCTCAGAGGACGGCGGTGTCCTATGGCCTCAGCCACTGCCACACCAGCACTGGCGAACCAGGACAGAGGCTCAGGGCGCCCGAGAAGGAGCCCAAGGCCTGGTTGAACCGCCACACAGCGGCCAAATAGTCTGCAGCCAGACCACAATCGGCTGCACGTGAAAGTCGGAGTACGCCGCTGTCAAACATGCAGCATCGCAGCGACTCCCCAGAACTGAGGTCGAAGATGCTAGAAGCAGCGCGCATGTCAGTCAAGGTGAAGGGATTCGATTGCCACCATCTGCTTTAACAGCGCTACGGGAACCATGTGTTTGGACACGTCATTAGGGCCACCTGCCTTGAGGTTGTGAAAATTCCAACAGTCGTCCAGGCTATTCGCAGCAGTCGGAACCTTGCAGGCCCCCAACATCGATTCGAGCAGGTCAAGCGTCTCGTTCCACTACCCACCTGCCTCGCACGCGTTGATCCCAGAGCTGTAGCTAATGATGTTGTGCTCCAACTTCGCCTCACATATCTCCCTGAACAACGCCAATGTCTGCTTCCACTGCCCGCCCGTTTTCCACTCATTGGTCCCGTAGCTGACTGGGGCTGAAACGTGGATTAACGTCGACTAAAGCTGGCTCGCATGTGAGGACGAGGATCGATGGCATGTTTGCCTGCTTGCGTGTTGTCATGCTGGCGTGGCTGCTGGCCTCATGATTGGCCCTATTCTCCCAGGAAGGCCTGATTCAATAGTTGCTTCATTGCTGTATCGTCTTTTTGCTATCCCATGCTGCTGCTTGACGCTAGTATTACCCAAAGATGTGTAGACATAAAGGGACATACATATATATATATATATATATATATATGATCCAGGGTCGAGGGCCCACGGGCCCCCCCCCAGATGGTATGGTCCCAGGATTCCTCGGGCCCCCCCCCCCCCAGATGGTATGGTCCCAGAGACGACGACGACGACGACGGCGACGACTACGACGACGGCGACGACGACGACGACGACGACCACGACGACGACAACGACGGCTGCGGCGGCGACGACGCCGGCGGCGGCGGCGGCGACGAGGACGATGACGACGGCGACGACGACGATGACGACGACGACGATGACGACGACGACAACGAGGACGACGAGGACGACGAGGACGACGACCACGACGACGACGACGACGACGACGACGACGACCTCTGAACCACCACAGCACCACACCACATCCACAGGGGGGGGAGGGGGGCACCGCAGCGCAGCACCACGCCACGCCCACCTCTGAACCACCACAGCACCACACCACATCCACAGGGGGGGGGGACCGCAGCGCAGCACCACGCCACGCCCACAGGGGGGGGCGCCATCGCGCGGGGGGGGGGGCCCAATGGCATCAGCATTGGGGGGGGGGCCAAGCCCACCCATGGACCATCGCGCGGGTGGGGGGGGCCCAATGGCATCAGCATTGGGGGGGGGGGCCCAAGCCCTGGACCATATATAAATAAATGCATATATATATATATATACACCGGAAGTTGGGGGTATGTAGTATATATACATACACACACACATATATATATATATATATATATATATATATATATATACAACACGTGTCCCCATATTTTCCGATGCCAGCAGACTCAGTAAATCAGGCGAGCGATCGATAAAGCATGCTATCGAACACGGCCCAGCGCTGCTCAAGCAGCCGCCTCCAAGCCCCTGTGAGCGAGGGGCCACACTTGCCAGCAGGGGAGAGGAGCAAGGGAGGGCAGGGAGGGACAACCGTCTTCAAGTTTTGAGCAGAGCCCAAAAACGGCAGCGGAACGGATACACTCGATAACACATTATCCAGCACGCAGGGCCATGTGTTTAACACGTGTCCCCATATTTTCCGATGCCAGCAGACTCAGTAAATCAGGCGAGCGATCGATAAAGCATGCTATCGAACACGGCCCAGCGCTGCTCAAGCAGCCGCCTCCAAGCCCCAAACCCATTTACATAAATGAACCGGGGGGGAGGGCGGGTAACCTAAAATCGGCTAAAAAGTTAGGGACCCCAGGGCGGCAGTGTTGTTGTTATACAGTTTGATGGCAGAGAATGTGGGCGAATTTATCACAAAACCTGACGGGATAGGCGGAAGCCTTCTCAGAATGAAAGATGCCACACTCATCTTTTCCTGCGATCTCCACATGAGGCTGGTTTGTGAACGAGCATACTCCACGACCGTGACACCGATCCGAGCGAAGGCCGTCGAACACACAATTAGCACACAACAACCGAGTCCGCTTTCGGTAACACGATCCAAAGGCACAATGATCCCAGTCAATAAAGTTATGTTTTGTCAATAATGCCTGGAAGCGGGGGTGCAGCCACAACATAGACCCCTGGGGATTCTCAATAATGACAGGGACCCCAAGCGACACGAGTCTAGAGAACAGGCTGGCGGCCCAATCGGCCTGACGGTTACCCAACTTCACTTTGCTTTGATCTTTCTCAGAGAGACCAGGGAGCCCCAAGATGCACTTGGGTGAGCGGATAGGTCCCGGCCAGTTTCCAGGATGGGGGTTCCGCCTCGCCCGGGACCACGATGTGCACACGAGCCCGATCCAGACAAACTTGAGGCCTCGCCCAGCGACTGCGAGGAGGAGCTGAAAAACATCAGGATGAAGCGCGTCTTGCCACGGAGAGTCGGCGAACTCGAATGAGCGCATGGGCAGCCCGGCGCGAACACAGGCCGCCGACAACCTGCGGCTGCCCGCCATCAGCTCCACTCCCACTGTATTGGCAAAACGCACGACACGAGGTAGTTGCAGCAGCCCACCACGCGGCCCCCAATCGCCCAGCGGCCTAATCGAGGCTACTGCACGGGCCACGAGGAGCGAAGGCGCCCCGCGAAGAGGTCCTCGAGCCTCGCCCACTGGACCTCGCCGTGCGCTCGGGCGGCTGGTGACAGCGCCGACAACAGCTGCTGGACCATCCCGGGCTTTGCATACCTCTTGACGCTGCTGTCCTGGCTCCAATGCCCCCTCGACTTCACTTCCCCGAGGGTGCGACGGGCCGAGAGGACATCCTCGCTCGCACCGCCGTGGCGCAACTGGTATAGGCACACATCCTGCAGCCCCTGAGCCGCCGTGACTTTGCGGAACAGCACCGCCATGTCGACCGCGGGGGTGGTGAACAACGACAGATGCCCTGGACGGCCGTGAGCGTGCTGGGCCAACAGAGGCCCGAGCCAGGGCGGGTTGTCGAGCGGCACTGCCTCGTCGGACGTCCCCGTCTTGGTCAGGAAGCGGGCTCGGCCCGCCTCGTGGGCGAGCGGGGCCAGCGGGTCGGCCGCCGTCGGCGCCAGGAGGAGCGACCACACCGCCATGGCACCCCCGGCCCTCGTGGGCCGCAAGAGGTCCCTCACCAGCAGCTTCCTCAGCGCTCCCGGGCGGATGAACGTGCTGAACATCGTGAGCACCTGGAGCGCGGCGTCCCGCTTGTTCACCGAGAGGAGTCCCGAGATCGCTGAGCCCACCACCTCGCGGGGCGCGGGGGCCCGCGACCTCGGGGGCACCTTCTTGCCGTACCCCTTCAGCGCGCGCTGCGCGCGAGGCAGGGCCCTCGGCCCCGTCGCCCGCGGCAGCGCGTCCTTGACGGCGGCGACCAGGTAGTCCGCGTCCCCCTTCGTGCAGCCCGCCTCCAGGAACGCGTCGAGGACCTCCAGGACCTGCACCTCGAGCGCCTCGAGGTCGTCGGCTGGCTGTCCCACGAACGCCAGGAAGGCCGCGTAGTACTGCTGGTAGGACAGCCTGGCTGAGGCACCGACGGCTGCGTTCTCGCACGCCGACGGGATCGCGGCTGTCACCTTCGAGGTCCGCACCGTCGCCACCGCCGCCGCCAGCCGGGGCCGAAGCCCGGCAGCGCCGGGCGCCGCGGCCGGGCGGCGCATCGGCGCGGGCGCGCCTGCGGCTGCTGGGCGGCGAAGCGGCACAGGCGCGGCCACCGCCGCCGGGCGCCGCCGCAGCGCCGGCGCGGCAGCGGGCCTTCCCAGCCTGGCCCGCCTCGGCGCGGCTGGAGCTGGAAGACGAACAGCGCGAGCCTTCCGCGCGGCGCGCTGGACCCCCTTGGTGGTCGACGCGCGCCCGTGGCTGTCCTCCAGGCAGGGCGTAGTCCCTCCAGCCACGCTGAGCGGGCCGAGCATACGGCCCACAGGGCGGCCGAGCGTCTGGCCGCTCCCAGAGCCGACTAGGCGCGTCGGCCGGGTTTGACTCTGAGGCGATCCAACGGAAACGAGCCGAAATGCTACAGGCTATGGACAGAGCGGTGACCCGTCGACAGATCTGCAGGAGGCCGTGTGATGTGGCCCTCCCACGCTCCAGAGCAAGCACGACCCCGAAATTGTCAATCAAGTACAACCTCCTGGAGCAGTGCCGCCCTGGATCTCTCGCATCACGGCGCAAAGCCCACACAGCGGCCCGTCCCTCCTTGACCCCGATGTGCTCGGCATATCTGAAAGGCGCAGCGTACACGACACGAAACTGAGCTCCAAGGACTTCAGACGGGACCTCGGGAAAACCGACAGCGTGCTTCCAACCGCGCTCCGACGGGTTCTCCCAGGCAGTGTGTGGCATGGTGATTTCGCCCAGGCCGTCGAGGGCCCGGGCCCGGGGGGCCCACTCAGAAGGTTCCAAGCGACGATGCCTCCACCTCTCCCGCCATCTCCCAACATCCGCAACGACTTCCTTGGGAAGCCTGGCCTCGGTTACTCCCATCCCGGTGGTGGACGCGTCGGTAGCGATGACCTCACTCGCCCACGGCAGAGACAGGGGAGACTGCAGATGGATGCAAAGGGTCGCCA